TCTGCTCATCTGTGACTTGCTCCAAAATTCCAGCAGATGACCCTGCCCCCTTGATTACAGCTATTCTTTCTACTGCATAAGGTGGTCTTGGGAGAAAATGTTCCACAGGGAGAAGCACCTGTGTTCTATCCCCATGTTTCTCTTCTGCAGTTGGTGTATAGCTGGGGTTCCTAGAAAGAGCATCTGCTATTGTATTCTTTGTTTTGGAGACATGCTGGACAACATAGTCAAATTCACCAAGGTCAACTGCCCAACAAGCATGTTGGGGTAGAATTTTATGGTCTGTTCTAATTTCCACCTGCATAGAAGTTCCCGAAAGCCAATGTCTCCACTTCTTAGGTGCCTCAACTATTGCAAGTAATTCCTTGTCATTTATTGAATAGTTTCTTTCTGCAAGTTTGAGCTTTCTACTTCAGAATTCCACAGGCTGAAGAGATTGGGTTAAGGGGTCTGTCTGCATTACCACTGCTCCAAGATCATAAGGAGATGCATCAGTATCAACAATAAATGGCTGTGTTGGATCTGCAGGTCTGAGGACTGGGGCTTTTGCTATCAGCTGTTTAATTAGTGTGAATGCTTCTTCACACTTTTCACTCCAGTGGAATTTTGATGATGGTTTTGTAAGCTCCTGTATAGGTTGAATTACTTCATCAAATCTTGGAATCCAATTCTTGTAGCACTGTAAAAGACCATGTACTTCCTGGGCAGACTTAGTGCTTGTAGGTTTGGGAAGTACATTCACTTCATGCATTGCATCCTCTGTGAGCTCTGTTCCATCTCTCCCAACAATATAACCACCAAAGGGAATTTGCTCTGCATGGAAAACACATTTCTTTGGATTTGCATACAAACCATTTTTTCTGAGAATGGAGAGGTAAGATTTAACAGATGCAATGTGATCCTCTAGAGTCCCATTGGTAGCTATGCCTGCATCATCAAGATAAACTTTTACCTGTAGATGCTTTGCAGTAATTTCATCCACGAATCTCTGCCAATGTGAGACTGCAGGTTTCCAACCCTCCCACATTACTAAGGACTCAAATGTGCCATATTTGCAGCGGAAAGCAGTTTTTGATTCATCACCAGGTTGGATCCTAATTCTGTGGTATGCCTTAGTGCAGTCAATTTTGTTGTACCTTGTCAAACCAGCCATGGACTTGGCAAGTTCAGGCAATTTGGAATTGAGTACAAGTCCTTTGGGATAGCTTTATTTTCTCCTGAAGGTCATGGCAGAGTCTAAGTTTATGGCCCTCATCTTTGAAAAAGATGGGGTGTGCAGTATCAGATTTGGAGCGGTAGAGAGTTCCCTTATTGAAGCCATCTTTAAGGAGCTCTTGTGTCACACTGACATCCACTAACGTGGAGTATATAGTGTAGTATGAGTGTTGGGTATTAGCTGCTGTGCCACTACTGTGGCCGCGGGTTAGATGTGCACACCTGCAGGACGTGCCCTAAGTTTGGCATCACGTTCCCGCAGGTGAGTTCCATGCACACTACAACTTCTTATGTTTCTTTGATTACACATGCATGTTCCTGCAGATTAAAGGCTCATGCAGCTCACTTGTGTAGCAATGGGGGGACGTTGTGGAAGTGGTCCAACTAAAGAGACCAAAACAGAGAGGTCATGGAGCAACAGTTCCAACTCATTTCATACAGCAAAGCTCACCATCACCGCCTTGGCTCACTTGCCTTTCTGCCAAACTGCTGGAAGGTCATTGTCATATGGCAAGCTGGCATGACACTGATGGGAGGCAATTGCAACAAGTCAGGCAATTTGACCTGAATGGAAATTGTCTGTCCTCCTGCTGCACTCCTTACCAACAATTCCCTTTCCTCTGAGGAGAGAAAGTTTTGCATCCTGGACAGAGATGACACTGAGGTGGGGTGCAGACACATTATAGTCTGCAGCAACAGGTTTCCATATCAGTGTTCATTGCAGCAATTGCCATTTGGCAGAATCCTCACCAGTTTGGTGCAATTGTGCATGTTTAGCACTTTGCAGCTGGCAACTATATCAGTGTTGTCCAAGATAAGTACTCAGTTGCTTTTGTCAGCAGGAGTCACCTTGACCACCACACCTGACTAGGGTGTGCCAAAGTGTGCTGAGTGAAAAGGGCTTGTTGTCTCTCCAGGGTAGCCTTCCTGTGTGTTGTCCTAAACACAGACAACCTTGAATGGCTTGTTCATGGGGCTGAGTGGTTTCAACAAAGACGCCATGGGCAACAACTGGGAACACTTTTGGGTGAGGGATTGCATGCAAGTCTGTACATTGACACTGGTCCCAGAGCTGAAGCCCAATTTTCAGTTGTGGAGTCACATCTGCTGCTCCCAATTCAGTTTATGCAATGAAACCGTCAATGCACAACAGTGGTAGATTTGGTAGTTCACCAATAAGTTTGCAGGTTTGAGGCTTCAATATCATAATCAATCTGCTTGATCTCTCCCTATGCCTTGGACATAAACCCTTGCACTCCTTCCCCTTATGCCAATTCCAACCTTGCAGTTGGAAGGTGGAGTTTGATCCACCCCATGCAGGACTCCAGCATTTTTTTCCTGAGACTGCATGCAATTAACGTGGTCATGGACATCTTGACCAAGGCGCAAAGCACTGCGACAGCAATGAAAATTGCACTGTGAGGCCAGAACACGCCATCTAGAGTGAGAGATGGCTGACAGCCCAAGACCCCAAGTAAAACAATGTCAACAATGCCAATAACAAGCCAGAAGACTTCCATGGCATTTTGAACAATTAGGTGGCAGAGCTGCATCATAAATGCGCACAATGTGTCAGTAAAGTCCCTGAAGAATTAGGCATCAATGTCAGGGGGCCCTCATGAATTTCTTGAAGTGTCAGTCACAATTATGCTCCTTCACTTCCATGACATGTTCTTGGTTTCCTTTGTGTGGGATTCATTTCTATCAACATCAGCACAAAGTTACTTACTGAGAATCAGCTCCCTTGTTTTTTTGTGTGTGTATGTCTAATTGTTGCAACCCCCAGTACTACCTGCACAGCCACCAATGAGGGAGACAGGGAGCATATGACAAAGAAGATCTTTTGAGCTTACAGGTCAGATCTATTTTGTTTCTCACAAGATCTTCAAAACAGCGTCATTGCTTCTGCACAAGAATTCATCTGAAGGATGGACACAGTGTCATTTGCTTTGGTTTGCAAGCTCTCTGCATCCCACTTAACGTCACTTGGGATTGATATTTCAATTGTGGCTGATAAGTTTCCCCTTGAGTGGTTTTCCATTCTTCAAGACAACTCAAATCACAAGAGGGTCATGACAATCTCATTTAGTGCCAGTGGTTGCTGCTGTTCAGCCCATCTGTACTTTAAATCCAAGGGGAAGTATTTTAATCAGTGCATGGTTGCAAGGTGTGTGTGGACATTATTTAAAAGTGAGATGAAGAATTGTATATCAGTTCCTTGGGCCTGTGTAGAGACCTTATCAGAGTCTAAGCAAAATTAAGAGCATACCTTGAGTAACCCACCATAGCTATTCTTTCTCACAAAGTGAATAAGGCACTCTCCAAAGTCCTCCAATACCACAGAGAGAAACCATACAAAGAAGCTTCTGCCAGTGCTTCAAAGAGAACGTGTCTCTGCAGCATCCAGGTGATATATAGATGGGATGCAGACTCTCACTGTGATGGCAATCAAATTTGCCTGTACCAATAACTTGAGGGGACAACATGTCCTTCACAGTTAGTGTGGTGTTGCTTGCACCATAATTTGGGCACCCTGTGTACACAAAGGATGGGCTGAGGGTTGATCTCACCATGCCTATCAAGGATTTCAACCATCTGAGGTGTACCCTCAGGGTTGTATGCCTTGGCAAGCAGGAGCAGTGATTTTGTGGTTGTGGAGGTGCTCCAACTTACAAGACCAAACAAGTGAGGTCATGGAGCAATGGCTGAAGCTCATGTGGTGTAACTAAGCTCACCATCAACATCTTGGGGCCACTTGCCTTTCTGCCAAGGCTCTGGATGGACATGTATGCTGAGGTGAGGTGCTGACTCCTGATTACTGTGCTCTAGAGCAACAGGTTTGACACTGGGTGTTCAATGAAATGAGTGCCATTTGGAAGAATGCTTACCAGTTTGGTGTAATTCTGGACTTTGAGCACATTGCTGTATGCAAGCATGTGTATGTTATCCAAGGTGGCTACTGGGTTGTTTGTGTTGGCCAAGGTCACTTGAACTTCCACATCTGAGTAGGTAAACTGGGTGTGTTGCAGTGCATCAAGTGCCCTGCAGTTGTCTGCACTACAGTGAGAGCCCTTGTGAGCGCTGCTGTGGTCACAGCAATCTTGGAGGGCTTGCCCATGAGTCAGAGTGTTTTTCAACAATGTCAATGTGATCAATGAGGGTATATAAGGCAGAGAGGCCAACACCTCATAGACACCCAAGACAGGTTCCATTTTCAGCAGGACAAGGTTCTATAGCTGAGTTGGTTAGAGAGAGCATGAGCTTGAAGAGGGCAAGAGGTGAGTAAGATGCACCATTTTCCCATGCCATGAGCATGAGTGCTGGAGACAGGTGTCACACTGACATCCACTGACGTGGAGTGTATAGTGTAGTATGAGTGTTGGGTATTAGCTGCTGTGCCACTACTGTGGCCGCGGGTTAGATGTGCACACCTGCAGGACATGCCCTAAGTTTGGCATCACGTTCCTGCAGGTGAGTTCTATGCACATTACGTCTTGCTATGTACATCTGATCATATGTACACGTTCCTGCAGTTTACAGGCTCATGCAGCTCACCTAGGTTGTGGAGCAACAGGAGGCAGAACCTTCATAGAGCCCCAACAGAGGTTGCATTTTCATTAGCAAAAGGTTCCATAACTCAGTTGGTCAGAAGTGCGAGCTTGAACATGGGCAAGGGGTCAGAGGTGAGCAAGGAAGTGGGTTCATGTTTTCTGCCCTTTTCCTGGGACAGCACAAAAAATTCAAACTGTCAATATTTACAGTTTGCTTGAAGTTCCTTGTCCTCCTGTTCCATAGCTCAGTTGGTCAGAGCGCGAGCTTAACACGCTCGAGGTCGCTGGTTCGATCCCGGCTGGAATCACTATTTTTTCCTCGCTCTAACTCAATCATAGTTTCGCTATGACACCCCTTTTGAATGCTCGCTTCGCTCGCAGAAGTTGCCTTGGGCCTCGCTTCGCTTGGCCCTCAAGACAACGCATGGGCGTTGCGCGTACCATCTTCCTGGGCCCCAGCTACCAACCACAATGGCGTCTTGCCACTGTCATCTGATTACGTAACAAGTGTTGCTTCCAGTCCATTGGATTTTTTGTTGAGGGGTTGGAAAACTGGAGCTGCCGGCTGCAAACATGTTACAGACAGTAAAACAGGAGATAGAAAAAGTGGACTAATTGTTGGAAAAGTTGAGGAACGGCAGTGACGCGATTCAGCCCGAGTATTGAGGTATTTTCTTGACGGTGTCGTTCGTTATTTGACAATCAGGTGTCAGTAACTTAAAGCTGTGATCACGTTCTTGCTGCTCAAAACGCAGGATGTGCTTGACAAATGCTCGTCACTCTGTTCATCTTTCATGCTCTCGCCACTCTTACTTCATCTGAAGTCGAGCCCAACAGTTTGCAGTTTGGCTGAATGAAATATGTTTGGAGGAGGAGGGTGAATTTGGTGTTTGGATGCTCGCTTGGTTCCAACCGAGGATGTGGTAGAAAATAGTACAAGTAGAAGATGCTGTTTATTCTTGGATAGTTCCAGCAACCGCATCCGACAGCGTGCTGCTCCTCGCACTCGTGCTGCAGATCAGCTTGACTCCAACACAAACTCACCAACACAATCCCGCCCTTGCTGCACGCCAGAACATCCCTGCAACACTCGCCACTCTCCCAGGACGTCTATTTGTCACTCCGCGGACTGTTCTCCGCACTCCAGCCATGCAACGACCTGCTCCTCGAACGCCCCCCTATCCTCGCGTCTCGCTGACCTAAGCGTGGAAGCGGGTGCGGTCCTCCCCATTGGGACGCAAACTCTCGTGCGTAACAAACTTTGTTGACGACAGTGGCTTTGGTGATATTAGCACAGCAGTCGGCGTGGGGACGGACGGCAAGGAGACCAAGGATATGTTTGAAGGGAGATGTTCGTTGGAGGCGAACTTTCCTGTTTGTGCTTGGGAGGGATGGTGAGCCAGATGAGAAGGAAGTAGAGCGCGCTCTAGTTCTGATTCCAAGCCTTCAATTACTCTCTGCCCTGTTCTTCTCGTCAACGCTTTTCTGCTGGGAGTGCGGGGGATGGTGTGGCCCACAAGCCACAAGGAAGTGTAAGAGACATGGCATAAGTGGCAGCTGAAGCGGCAGGACCACCTTCGACGTACCGGGTGGTGGACTGGGCAGGTTGATGTGAGATGGGAGCGAAAGCAAGCCCAAGTGGCGCTCCCCCTAATAATCTGTGCGCCTCTGCGTGACGTTTATCCTGGCGCCTCGGTCATCCAGTGTTTTGGCAAAGTGACGGCTGGCACTCACGTGGGATGCATTCGGACTGCATACCTTTTTTGACCAGCGCGTCATTGGTAGACGATCAAACTTTGCGACGAGGAGCAATAACGGGCGCGTTGGGCGCGGATTGCAAAGGAAGAAGGGACGTTGGGGTCGCGAAAGCTGAATGAATCAGTGTCGTCAGTGAGAAGACATGGATTCTCAGGATGTCGGCCACGGGAGCACAACTGCGCGTCTGTGCATGATGGTCCAGGTGGGTTAGCGTTGATGATTGTGTGGCACGAATGGACAAGCACCGTACGTTTACCAAGGACAGTGCGGTGACTGCAGGACGTGAATTGACTTGGGCGCGAGCTGGGAATTATATTGTGCAGTTGATGTACACTTGCATTTAGGAAAGTCAGACGTGTCGTGAGACGTGTCCTAAAACATCTAAGGCGAGAGGGAGTTCGAACACTGCCTGGAAGTCCAGCGTTCCTGGGTGCACCTTGAAAATGTTTTCCTCGGGTCTGAAGATATTAAGATGCAGCTTCCAGCAGACTCAAAGGGTTCGATGGTATCGAAACAGACAGCACACCTGGCAGAAGGCGGACACTCCAAAGACCCATGAAAGAAGGGCTGCAGTGCGTCCAGCGCCTGCAGCTCGCGCGCTGTGCCTCTGTCCATCATGCACTCCGTCCGACCGCCGGCTAAAACGAGACCATAGCGGTCCCCATCAAAAACGTCGGACAGGGGTTGAAAGGCTTTGGTCACCAACCAACTGCTGCATCCTCCCACAATGTTCACGGATCTTCCCGCAGAAGTTTTGCTTATTGTCGGACGTTTTCTTCCTGGTCGCCTGGGTCTCCCACTCGATCACGTGTTGCGGAGACTGCTTGGACCACCGCCAGAAATTGCACACTAAGCCCTCTACGGAGCGGTCAACGCTCTCATTTTCAAAGCAGAGAGGATCGATGGCAATGTTGATGTTGTCAGAATACTCTTGAGACGGCCAAGTGTCCGCAATAGCGTGAATCTTGTCGTAGGACACCGTCGTGGGTGCGTTACAGCACTCGTGGTGGCAGCAAGAGCCGGAAATCTACGCATCTGTCAGCTTCTCCTCGATTGTGGGGCCAGGAGCCTTGTGCAAGAGCACGGATACTTGGACTTTCAACAGATTTGGTTTTGGCCGTCGTTCTGCAGAGCCTACACATGTCACCATTTGTTGAAGCAGCCTCAAAGGGCCATTATGACGTGGCGAAGTTCTTTGAGGAAAAGACTGTGTTGTGTCCGATCGAAACCAAGTGGGGAATTGTCATGGCGGCGCGAGGAGGTCACTAGAGTGTGGTGTACCACTTGATTGATTCGACTGATCCAGGGACAGACTATTTTGGTTGTCGTGGCGTCCTTTTTCATTGTGCAGCCACTTATGGACACGCCGAGTTCATGTGTAAGTTGCTGGACGACGGAGGCGCCCCTGGACAACCATGGTTGGAAGCTTCTCTCATAATGGCAGTGCAAAATGGACACCTTGGAATGGTCGAGACGCTCTTGGAGAATGGAGTCAACGTCCGCGCTCGATGTGGGATGGCTCTGGCTGTGGCAACACGAAAGCAGCACCTGACCATTTTGAAACATCTGCTCGCTAACGGAGCCACCGTAAACATGTGCACATTTGCACTCAAACATGCAGCGGAGAAAGAAAGCTTTGAGATATTAAAAATTCTCCTTGAGGCTGGAGCAGACGTCCATTCGGGCAACGGGGAGCTTTTACGTTTAGCAGCGCAGAATGGGAGGCGGGACATTGTTCGTCTCCTCCTCGACTGGGGCGCTGACCCCGGTGTGTGCGACACAAACTCGCGCTCTGCGCTGGACATGGCGTCGGAAAAAGGCCACTGCAGTGTGATACGCCTTCTCCTCAATTTTGACCCCGGTGTGTGCGACACAAACTCGCGCTCTGCGCTGGACATGGCGTCGGAAAAAGGCCACTGCAGTGTGATACGCCTTCTCCTCAATTTTTGGATGGACGTCAATGCCAATGACAGTGCGGCTCTTTGGTGGGCAGCGTCGACTGGAACGGCGGATGCTGCTCGGCTTCTCCTTGAATGTAAAGCCGACCCAAGAGTTGCAGATCGCACGGTGTTTTATCTTGCAAGAGAGACAAATAATTGGGACCTTCTGAGCGCTCTTTGCGATGCTATACGGGCGTACGACTCAGATCCATCCATAGGTTCAGTTTGTGTTTAGGTATGAAACGTGTCAGATAGATTAAGAAATGGAATTCATGGATGTAAGCAGTCCAAACGTTTGTAACGAAAGCATTATGGGAAAGCATCCCATCACTTTGAGGCTTTTCTTGTAACGTCAGACTTTTAAATTCAAGATCACGTAGATACATCGATCGAGTGAATTGTAGCTTTTGTTGTTTTCCGTTGGACTATGTTGTTATCGGAATGCAAATGCCGCGGAGGAGCTGGAAGAGGCCATGTATAAGCTTGATAAGTTTGAGTTTCAGAATGAAGTGGGTTGCTCCGCCAAGGCAATGAATCTGGACCAAGGGATGCCGACGGGACAAAGGGACCCACCCAAAAAGGAACATTGATGAATCCGTGAATAATTACATCACTTCTCTGCATTTCATCATGCCCATTCGGTAAAGGAAGCGTCGCGATGGTACTGTGCTTGATGTGACTCGCCCTTACCGGTTTTTTCGTTCCCTCTGTTGGCAGATGCGCCAGGGAGACAGGCAGGCGATAAAGGGGAACGAAATTTTATCAATTGTTCCGTGCCTCCTTTGCCCTGGCGAAGTGCATGCGCCAGTCTTCCCTTAGGTGTAGCGGGTGGGATACATCGATATGCATAGAGTGCTCTCCCCTGCAATCAAGCGCTCATTATTCGGAAAGTTACGCTTTCAGCCAGGTACCCCTCCCACAACGGTGAGAATTCAAGTTTTCGGGAGAGCACGGTGGGCGTTATTTTGTTCCGGTAGTCAGGAATGAGAATTTAGACGTCGGTATTCGGAAACTTCCTCACTATAATGCTGTCACGACGTATTTACACGGTACTTCCAACATATATCGCAAATCTATCTTGGGAATTTCAGTTGAAATTATCTTTCGCGGTCTTAGTTGAATGACCCTTGGAAAGGTTGTGTAGAGTAGCAAACGAGAGAGGCGTTAGGCACCAAGTGACTGACTGACATTAAATATGTAGAGAGAGGTACAATAAGCAACAAAGTCTATAAATGTAATCTAAAACGGTTTTGTTTTATCGTGTCCACGGCTTCTTTAATTGGGGAAAGCACCTGATGAATGGAAGTGGAGAAACATAATCCCGGAGATCTCCGCCAATTAATACAGACTCAGGCTCACAACAGTGGCAGCGACGACTCACCCTTCCAACAACGTAATCCTCGCAAGCATAGCACCAACACGAACAGTCCGAGAAGCTCACAACCACACAATGTGATCGCGAGGGCTCCAATTTTGCATTCGAGACTTCTTTCGGCGGTGTCTGTGATTGCTCTGAATGGTGGAGGTGGTTCAGATGTTCGAAATGCTCAAGCATATGACTGTTGACGTATCTGCAGTCGACCGAGGAAAGATTAACCTAAGACCAGACA